GTATAATATAAAGAGCATGAGGCTTTGACTGACTATTAGTCCGGCTCTCTCCACTTATTAGTTGTGTGATTTTCAGCAACTTATTTATATCACTGAACCTGAGTTTCTTCCTCTGAAAAATGGGGGTGGTATATATAAATATACATAAATATATATAAATAAAATAGGGTTATTGCAATCATTAAGTGAGGACTTAATGAAGGGGTGTTTTAAAATCTCAAAGGTTGCATAGTAAACTCTCAGATGTTGCACTGCATAGCCTAGTGATAAAATCTAAAAAGTCATTCAATTTTGAAACATACAAAGGGCTTCTGTACAGTGGATGTTGACTGTGTATCCTTTGGTAAATTCATCAAGATAAAATAATTTAAAATTTCGGAACAAATGAAGGATTTAGATTAGCAATAGTGAAGAAATTCCAGATTTAGTTCTTAAATTATGGATTTGGGTTATTAAGCTATAGAATTTCCTTCTGTGGAAGTAGTTTTTAAAAACACATCAGAGTTTAGATTCTTTCATGAATGACTGATTTTACAAATATCTGTGTAAGAATTGCAGAAGAACTCACAATGGAGAGATGATAGGAATTAAAGCAAATCGATTTATCTAGAGCTGCACCATTACAATTTGGTGGCCACTAACCACATGTGGCTATTGAGTACTTAAAATGTGACCAGACCAAACTGAGATCCACTATAAGTATAAAACACACACTGGATCTCAAAGACATAATACAAAAAATGTAACATTTTATTAATAATTTTAATATGGCTACATATTGAAATAATACTTTGTATACGTTGGATTGGATAAAATGTTACTAAAATAAATTTTACCTTTTTAGTTTTTTAATGTGGTTACTGGTAAATTTAAAATTATATATGTGACTCACATGATATTGAATGGTGCTCATTTAAATAATTATTGAATGGTTTTAGACAAAGTAACTCTTAAATTTAGGTCTTTTGAGTTAGATATTTCAGGTTGAGACTGCTACTCCAATGCTAAGAATGTCAGAAATTGTTCCTTTCTTCAATCATATATGTAAATAACCCAATTATTTTTAACCCATGTTCAAATTAGCTTGCTGCAGAATTATGGTACTTGGAAAGTAGCATCTAACTTTTAAAGGATAGTATGAAAATTCTCCTATAACAAGAACAAATATTAGTAAAATACATAATAAAAATCCTTTCCAGGAAAATGATTTTTAAAACAGACCACCTGAAACAGCTTCCCTAACTCTCCCAGATTTGAGGGACAGTCTGATAGGCAGACACTGGAGGGCATACGCACTTTACTATTGTTGCACAGCCCAAACGTCTTAGGAAATTAGTAGTAGTTCTAATGCCATGTAGCAGGTTGATTTAATTTAAGTGTGTTTCTGATTTGGGTTAGAAAATTAAATATTACTTTCCATATTATTAGTTCCCCTTTTAAAGGGAAATGAATTGATTAAGTAAATGTAGGCATCATAGTTAAATATAAGGGCACTAAACATAGATGATTAAAAAGGCTTTTAAAATTTCCCTGAGAGATTGCAAAATAAGAAAGTACAGGGGAGAGTGGAGAGAGTTACCAGTTACTAGTCTATAAACAAAGCAGCACTTCAAAACAGGGATGGTAACTCTGACTCACATCACTCATGGGTATGTTCTGTGCTAATATCTGTAAGCAGTCAGATAATCATAACTTTACATCATATTATTATCAACTACCTTCAGATTCCTTCCTACTCTGCCCATGAGTTGATTTGTAAGCAAATCATGTTTTTAGTTTGCTATATCAGCATGGACTTAAAAGCACTTAATACATGTATCTTTAATTCACATTCACATTTGAGAGCAAACATTTCGAGGTTAATATTCTTGGAATCTATAGTTAGAATGCATATATAATATACTTACGGTTTTAAAATTGTGGTTTCCTATTTGGGCTATTTAATTGATACTCAAATTCAGGAAAACAGTGCCACAGTTATCCTAGATATAAGCCATCTTTTGCATCATTGCCCTTATCATTTCAAATATATTTTTATGTTGTTAATTTTGTGCTATCCATTCAGTGTTCTGATTTTAGTCCCTGAAATGTCAGATCCGGTGACATTTAAATTGCTTTGAATTCTGCCTTTATTTTGAAGGCAGGTCGATGTTAATGGACTAGACCCCAAGAGCTTGTTCAGCTGTTCACCAAGCAGAAATGTGTGGCTCAAAAGGAGGGTTTTTTACAGCATCCATTTCCACTTTAAAACTTTCAGTATAACCAATGTGTCACATGGCAAATGGTGAGTGTGGCGATTGAAACACAATTTAGTTACATAAAGGGGGCAAAATAGAAAATGAAAAGAAGAAAAAAGATCAGTTTTCATTGTGGCAAACACTAACACTGTTTACTTCGTGACTCCAGTGTCAGAGCACTGAGTTAAAATCAGGCTTTTGATCAGAATGGAGAGGAATGGAAAAAGAGAAACTAAGGTGAAAACAGAAGGTATGAAAGGGTGACTTCTAATAAAATGATAAGCTAGAGATAAACATAAAAATGTGAGTAATAAAACTCCTAAGCTTTTCATAGAATCAGGAGGCAGAACATTCTTGAAGGGAAAGAAAAAACTGCAGACATCTGATTGATGTTGTCTGGCTCAGCCTAGCCCTCCAGCACATTTGTTTAAAGCCTGCCTTGTGGTTATGACTTCCCAGCACAAACCCCACAGCTGCTTCAGATCCTCCTCTCCTGTAAGGCCTTCTTGACTACTTTTGGAGTTGGGAGCATCTTTCCTGTGCCTGCGATCTCTTCCTTTGCAGTGAACACTGAGCCCCTCCAGCTCACACTGGGCTCCCTCAGGCCCCAACCCCACAGTGCTGTGCTCCACACAGTCTGCTCACATCCAGTTTCTCATTTGAGTCTTCCCACTGCCCTTTCAAGCCAGTTTAGTAGACTCTACAGGTATGGCATCAACTGTCACCATCCCCATTTCATTGGCTGTAGAGGAGCCATTTGTAGAAGTTAGAAGTCAGCCTGCAGGTGGTAGGCACAAAGGCAAGACCAGCACCAAGTTTTCTGACTCTAGATCCTGTAGGCTTTACATCTCCATGCCACTTACAAACAACAGAGTGCTTCCTTTAAAACAATAGCAAAAACAGACAAAAAAGCAATACCTTCTTTGACCATGCTGTTCCTTTAATAAGGCCAGATTCTTCAAATATGATTGTGCTCAAACCCAGAATGACATAATGGAAGTGCTGTTGACTTTGGAATTGGTCAGGCCAGGGTTCACAACCTGCCGCTGTGATAATTGTGTGATCTTGAACATATTTCTAATCCTCGGTTTCCTCATCTATAAAATACCTACCTAATGACTAAAGTACTTAGCCCAGTGAGAGGCATGATAAATTTTAATTTATTACATAATTGTCTCCTGCATACTGACTTTGATCCTGACCTCTCTACAGAATTTGATGTTGCCCAAAATGCTCATGACCTTTTCTGGCTGAATCTTAAGGCCTTTTCTCACCTTTCAGCCTTATCCAGCTACTTATACCTTAATTCCTTCTATTCCCTTGACTTTCTTGATATTATATTGTTGATTCTTCCTTTTCTGGTAGCTTCTTTTTTGTCTAATTTACTGACTTCTTTTTCTTATTCTACCCTTATGTAAGTCAGTCTTCTGATGTTCCATCTGCAACCATTGCTCTGTTGACAAGACTAATGAATTAATAAATCAGAAAGGAGTTGGCTGAGCGTGGTGGCTCATGCCTATAATCCTAGCACTCTTAGAGGCCGAGGCGGGTGGATCGTTTGAGCTAAGGAGTTCAAGACCAGCCTGAGCAAGAGCGAGACCCTGTCTCTACTAAAAACAGAAAGAAATTAGCTGAGTGACTAAAAATATATAGAAAAAATTAGCCAGGCATGGTGGCACATGCCTGTAGTACCAGCTACTTGGGAGGCTGAGGCAGAAGGATAGCTTGAGCCCAGGAGTTTGAGTTCGCTGTGAGCTGGGCTGACACCATGGCACTCTACCCCAGGCAACAGAGTGAGACTCTGTCTCAAAAAAAAAATTAAAAAAGAAAGGAGTTAATGTTATCTGTTTTACTTTGTGCAGTACATCTTTAGCCTTAATTCTTCCTTAACCTGTCTCCTTTCTACTTTCAAATATAAAAACATCACATTGGATTTTAATCATCAGCAAACAGGTAAAGCCCCAGCACTGTTAAAAGCACTGGAAGGCTTTAATTATCCTATTCCATGTAGACATGGCAAGTGATGCCCATGACAAAACTATTTTAGTATGATGGTGATGACAGTGATATTATTAACAATTTTGTTTTTCAAATAGTATTATAGAGCTTACACAGTAGTCTTACCTACATTATTTGTGCTTCAAAATAACACTGCGAGGTAGGTAGTGTTCTGAATCATCCAACACACTTTATAGATGATGTAAAAAATTTTCTGACTTTGATTCTAGGAATAGTGCCTTTTCTATTTAAACCATACTATTTTTTGTTCCCTATTTCATGTAACTTTCTTGACATGTCTATAAATGCTAGATTTAGGCTAAAGGACAGAAGACATTTTTATCTGATTTAGGGAAAACTAAGAAAAAGAGGTAAATTCAAAACAGTAAATTGAATTACTTATTAGCAGATCAAGGAAGAGTTATAAATTTGGAGGCTGAGACTTGATTACAAGAGTTGGGGAAAGTATTTATTTGTGTGTTTGTTTTACTTCTGGGGAAAGTATTTGTACCATGAAAATAAACATTTCTTATTAATAAGAGCTGACTCTATACTGTATATAGATTTAAGCTGGCAAAAAATATGAAAAGTTAAATTGTCAAAGATTTTAAAGTATAAAAAGTTAAGCTTAGTTTAAATGGGGGATTTCATCTATTTAGTTAGAGAAGTCTTCATGTTACCATAGATCACATCCATTCATTCATCATTCACCCTAATTGTCTTTTGTTCCTACCTAATGAAGTATGTTCTATGTTTGTTTTGCAGATCTAAAGCGAGAAGCCAGTATCTGTCATATGCTGAAACATCCACACATTGTAGAGTTATTGGAGACATATAGCTCAGATGGAATGCTTTACATGGTTTTTGAATTGTGAGTGTACATTTTATTTCTTAAGGGGTAAAATTTTAAGCAATGTTGCTTTCATATGATGCTAACACTTTTCTCTTGAAATTTAACAGTAGTTGCAAACTTACCTGTTTAGAAAGAACTAAAGTCACAAGAAAGGATTATCTCATCTTAAAGTTTACAATGGCAAAGGAAGCAAAAGCTAGACGTATTCAGTTACCCTCACACTTTCAGCACACTTCAGAGAAGAGGCTCCAAAGGGAAATAGAGTTCAGAGGGATAGGAGGCCCCAAAATATAAAATTCTGACCAATAGAAGTCTTAATGAAGACGAGTAGGAGAAGAGTGGAGGCCTCCATGTAGCAAGGCTGTCTGGTAACTAAAAACTAATGATGACGGACTTGACTTCCTCTTTTGATATAATCACTATGTTGGCATATGAGGGCAATTCTATAGCTCATCGCGTATCTTGATTTCAGTAAGCCACTTGATATGTTTATCACAGAATTTTTTTCAGTAAGATAGAGAAATGTGGGCTAGTCCATAATTGGTTGAATGATTGTATCCAAAGAGATTGTGTAAAGCTTTATAGGGCAGCACTTTGCAAGATTTTGTCTTTGATCTTATTCTGTTCAAAATTATAATCAGTGACTTATATTAGGGAAAAAAAAGGAAGGTAATAATTGCTTAAATATTCAAAAGTTACCAAGGTTAGAGGGTATATTCAGTATCTATTGCTTCATAACAAAATACCCCAAAACTTAGTGGCTTAAAACAATACACATTTATTATCTCAGTCTCTGTACATCAGGAATGTGGATCCAATTTAGCCAGGTCCTCTGGCTCCGAGTCTCTCACGAAGTGGTAGTCAAGGTGTTGACCAGGGCTGAAGTCATTTTAAGGCTCCACTAGAGGGTGGATCCACTTCCAAGCTCACTCACATGGTTGTTGGCAGTCTTCAGTTCCTTGCAGGCTGTTGCACAGAGGGCTTTAGTTCCTTATAAGCTGTTGGACCAAAGCCTCCTTTGGTTTCTTGTCATGTGGGCCTATCCATAGAGCAGCTCACAACGTGGCAGCTGGCTTCATCAGAACAAGCAAGAAAGAAGGCAAGAGAGAGTGTGTGAGCAAGACAGAAGTCACAGTCTTGTAACCTAATCTCTGAAATTACACACCATCACTTCTGCTATATTCTTTTAGTTAGAAACAAGTCACTAGATCCAGGCCACACACAAGAGGAGGGGATTACACCAGGACCTAAATACCAGCAGGTGGTGATCACTAGGAGCCATTTCACAAGCTGCCTACCACAGAGGGCTAGCTGACACATTGGCTGTCTGCATCAAAATTTAAAATTACTTTTACCAAGTTTGTAGCAAGGGAGCTGAAACAGAGAAGGTGAAATTTAAAAGCAGTGGCTCTGGCTTGGGCGAGGCAAAGACATTACATGTAACCAAAATGTTTGTACCCCCAGTGTGAATTTAATTGTAACTACTTATATGAAAAAGATGTAAATGTTTTAGTTAGTTGTCTGCAATGGCTTTAAAAGTCCTGAATGGAATGTGAAGCAGCATTAATTAGAAGTATATAGTATTCAGAACAAAGCCACATTCCCACTATTCTCCCTGGAGTGTTCATAGAAAGCAGGACACTGGAATGTTTGCAGAAGGGGATAACCAGAATGGGAAAGAGCCTGCAAATTCTGTCATAAAGTCATGGCTTCAAAATCTTTGCTGGCAAACCCACTAAGAGAATTTTGAAAAACTTATGTACCCCTCTCACATATTTTTAGGTTGATATATAAAAACTTTTATTATGAGAATATAATTTTCAGTGTCTTGAATATTCTTTCAAATATATTTTCTTCACAACTGTAGAGCTGCCTATTTATCTCATTCACTATATGGAAAATGTCTGCTACATGACCTACATGGCAAAGCTAGTCCTCATTGTCAAATCATTCAGCCAAATCAGACTCATTTTCTTTCAGAAAAAATTCTGACTTCATTTTTCAAATAAAATTAAAGCATTAATAGACACACCTGTGACAGTCACCTTACCATTGATTTCAAATTCTAAAACAGATCAGGCTTTGCCATGAATATATTGCCTGGATGCAGTGCAGTGGCACCTCCCTTTTTTTCTCAAGCTCTCTTTATGTTTTTGTTTTGCTATAAAGGGTCTCTCCCTCCCTCAGGAGTTGTACATTCCCCAATTGTCTCTTTGAAGCTAGATAGCCTGGTCTTTTGAGATGGGAGATGGTAGTTGTGGAGATGTAAAAGGAAAATCAGCAGACCACAGACTTGTTTTCAGACAGACCAAATTATGACAAATTAAGATATGAGAACTGATTGCCTGAAAAATATCCTAGTTCACATGTCTCCTGGAAGGACTTTGGGTACTCCCGGAGATACCCAAATCCCAGGTTGAAGACCACTGGCACAGAAGAGCTCTTGAGAAGACAGGGAAGCTTTAGTTAACCGTTAATGTATTAGTTTTCTTATTCTGCGAAAAGAGTTTCCAAAGCAGAAGCCCATAGGTAGAACATAATCAATGTCTTCAGTTATTTGAAAGATCATCATGTATAAGAATATTCTATGCTTATTCAGTGTAGCATCGGAGGCTGTAACTAGAATCAACAAGTAGCAGATTTCATCTCTAACTAAGGAAGGTCTCTTTAATCATTAGACTTACTCCACGAATGAAGCAAGCTGTCTCACAGACTATGTAGTTCCTCAGTAGAGTGCTCAAGCTGAAGCTGGATCCATCTAAGAGGGCTGAAGATAGGGTTGTAATTCTGGACTAGAAAGGGCCTCTAACATCCCTCCCGATTTTAAGATATTATAATTCCTTTTAAATTACTTTTCTGGTTTAATTTTATTCTTTATTCAAGAAATGTTTCTCTCCATGTTTATTTTCTGAGAAAAATAAAAACCAGATTTTATATACTGTACAATGTAGAGCATAGAAAGCAAATTTTAAAAATTCATCTAAATTTCACCATGTATGCTATTTGTATGGAAGGGGCCTAAATGACAATGTAGTAGAAAGAAGAAGGTCTTTGGTGTCATAAAACCTGGGCTACCATTCCAGCTCTAACTTTTACTAATTATGTGACATTGGCCAAGTCTTGTAACTTCTCTGAGCCTCAGTTTTCTTACCTTGAAAATATTCATAAGATTATGAGAACTAGATGAGAAACTATATGTGAAGTCCTTTTGTAAATGGTGAGGTGCTTTATAACTATAAAGTATTACTTTCAGTGGATTTAGCAGGTTAGTTTTAGTTCCTCAGTGTTGAAGCAGTCTATATGGGATTTTATGTAGCTAATTTTGTGTGCTTCAGTTGTGATTAAACTAATTCATCGATGGCTATATATTCAGATGAGACCTCATTAAAGTTGGATATTTGCCAGTGACCTAATCCCAACATTAACCCAAATCACTAGAACATGGCTTTCTATTTTCATTTTTTTAACCTTTTATTGTAGAAAATTTCAAATGAAAAGAGAGAATAGTACAATGAACCCCAGCACACTGGTCACCGAGCTTCAACAGTTATCAAAACATTTTGCCATCCCTGTTCTGTCTCTCCTTTCCTGTTGTCTTTTTTTTCCTCCTGGAAATTTCTAAAACAATATTATTTCGCCTATAAAAATTCCTGTTTGTATTTCTGACATAGAAGGACTTTTTTAAAAAATGACCGTAATATTATTATCATGCCTAACAAAATCAACAACAGTTACTTAATATCATGTCATGTTCAGTTGATGTTCAGTTTTCCCTGATTGAACATGAATTTTAAATGGCAGATTTCTAAATTTAGAATTGTTTTATTAGCTCTGGGGAATCTGGAAGTGGATTATAAATTCACAAAGTACGTTAGTTATTTCTCAAAACGGCCAGAAACAAAATAGAAATATAAAACTTCTCTTTTGTATCATTGTTTTATAAATTTACCTCACCAGTTGGCCTTGCCCAGTTTTTTGTATCCTTCGTCTCCTGGGTTTTAAGCCAACCAACCAACCAAAAACATCCATTGCCAGAAGATTTAAGGTCATGTAGATCAAAGACCAAAGCCAATACAGTTGTGTGTGGTTCCACCTACTGGCTAGGTGAAAGATTGCTTCTATAGCTGCAACATAGACTAAGCTACTCCAGAATTAGTTCATGTTTCTTGGCAATAGATGTAATTACCGCTGGTATACAGGGGCTCATTGCTCAGGTTATGGGTTATCTGGATCTTTTTTATAGTTTTCTAACATGACAACAATACAGAATAGACAAGGAAAAGGAAAACAAATGAAACTAGGTCAGTTTAACTTTGCTGTTTGTTTGTTGGCTGCTTGGAAACAGCTCTTATCATTTTGGTGGAGAAAAGTCTAGACAAAACAACATATTTGGATTATCAGTGAGTTTCTTGATGTGGTATCCATATCTGTCTTTGCCACAGACTGTGTATAACCAACACTCCCTTATTTCTTTCCAGACTGAAGTCATGAAATTATATTGCCCAATAATGTTGCTTATCATGTTAGAAAATCCTTAGAGGTAGTTGATATCCACTTAATTACAAATGGTTTATAAGTTTAAAGCATATTTAAACACAGAGACTCACAGAACTAGAAGTTGAGAATTAGAAAAGATTAGAGCAGTAAATTTCAAACTTAGGTTGGAAAATCCTGGGTAGAGGTTGTTAAACAAACATATACCCAGTCCCCAACCCTAGAAATTCACTTTCAACAGATATGGGTTCTAATGAGGCAGGTCAAGAGATGATTGAATTTTAAAGTAGGGGTAATATGGCTTAGAAACTATGTTGTCATTTCCCCAACACAAACAGTAGTGTTTTTAGACATCTGCATACGTTTCTACATTCATTGCTTTGGCATTACACTTAAATTTGAACCTGTCTACAGCAATTTGCTGAAATGTATTTTAAAATATAGGTTCAGTTTTGAAGAGAGGACTGAGTTATGTTATCCCCCAAAATTAAATATTTATTTCTAAGCAACACATTTGAGCTTGT